AGTTAGAGGCGATTTTAACGGGCTCTCCTCGCCGGGCTTTAGTGGAGGGGCCGTAAATAAAAGCATTAAGCAGGAATATGGCATCGCCAACTAAAGCAAAATGGCTAAAAGTAGCAACGAGAAGCGCGCATTATTAAAATAATAATATCGAGAAGCTCTAGCCGCCCACATTCATTAGTCGCTCATTCGCCGCCATACTCTTGACGCTAACTTCCCTAGACGATCGACTTAGCCTCGTTATCGCTCCCGCCTAGGTCCGCCTATAGCCGCCTCCTGAGGACGGATATGCCTAGTCCGTTACGGAGCTAATGGCCTTTTTATTACAGTCGAACCTAAGTAGCGGAACGGTGGGTCTATTATAGACGATCTATAAAGAGCTCGGTCGCTCGCTCGAGGCTATCTCGCCGCAGGTCCTATAGGGGCCCTAGTCTAGTCCTAAAACCGAAGGAAGAGTTACAGCAAAGGTAAGTTACGTGGCTCCTTTCGAAATCCATCTATTTATCTAACGCTAAAGGTATTTAGAAGCAGCAAATAAACTAAGATGGCGAGTTAGATAGGTCCTTTACCGCTAAGCTATATAGTCTCGAATACGCTAATCATAGCTTAAGCCTTAAGTTAGATCGCACACGCACCCATTTAGAGGAATCTAATAGTAAAGGGCGTAGTCTTCGCGCCTAAATCTACGCACTTTAGACTAAAATAGAGACTATGGTATCTTAGTCGGACCACTAGGAAAGGGAGCTGGTCTGGGCCAGAATAGGTATTACGGAGGCAATGCAATTATTGTAGGCACATTTGTTGTAGAATCAGGATACCGCATCTAAAGATGACACACTAGAGACCTTAACCGGTCCTATTACGATCGAGATCGGGACACGACTTAAGGAATACCAGGGATCATAGAGCGATGGCTACTCAAATAGGACTAGACCACTCCCAGAGCGTGTAGGGATACCTTTATCACGTGGATACTTGATAATCGAATCAAGTAAGCAGTACGGCGCGAGGTGATGACTCCTGTATGGAAGTTTTTACTATCGTAGCTATGGTTATTGACCAGTGAGTAATCTATGCTCTATCATGCTTTGTTACCTTAGTAGATCAAAAAAATAGCGCGTCTATATTATAGTGTTACTGGTGAAGGAACCATAGGCGGACGACTTCAAGCAGGCAATATATTATGTACGTACAGTATATATATATATATATATATATTCTTACAGTAGAGAGAAGCACCTCACCACACCGCCAATCAGGAACATCAAGAAGCAAGTACGAGTACAGAGTGCACAAAATAGGATTGCCACATCAAACCCTATCAACTTTAGCCAAACAATTTCGCCTTAGAACAATTCCATCTCCAGAGTCAAGATTCGAGCCTGGTTGTTTAAGCCTCAGGTGGCTGGAGAGCCCGATTAGAGTAACCCGATGGGTTCATCCCAACTCATAATTAGTGGCAACACATCTACTGGCCCCACTCCCCCCCCTTTCCAGGCGCCTGACAGTCCACCATGTTCGCGCTTTGGTCCGCCGTGTCACGACAGAATACTATGTATGGCGTTTTTCACAAATGGTCAGAAAATGACTCAATTCGGTGATAGGCGGTCTTGTTGGCCACGCACACGAGCAACTTCAATTCCCCATCATGCCGCGTTTGCCCCCCAATGATGTTACTCTGTTTGGTCAGTCGCGAACACCAGACATAGAAAGGCAAGACTAACCTACAAGAGCTCCTCTACAGACTTGCTCTTTAATCGATTCGGCAGACTCGTGATCTTGGCACTCCATTGATGTGGCGGTGGATTTTTTTGCATCAGCTTCGTCACAACCTCCGCCAGGGCGAACAGCTTGGACGTAGCGGCGTCCATCTCCGCAAGGCTGATCTTGCAACTGTGCTCGGCCCCCGCTGTGCGATAGACCGCCGTTAGCATTGTGGCCTGTGCCTTCGTCTCCGAGGGTCTTGCCAATCCGCACCCCTCCAGCATCCGTGAGCAAAATGTTGTCGGCGCTCAGGGTGGCGAGCACTCTCCCCCGGTCGCGCAGATGCCTGATTCCCTCGAGGACCTGCTACACGTCAGCTTGGAGCCGCCAAGGACAAGCAAGCCATGTAGCTTCGGCATTCCCGGTTGAACAGGTCCTTATCTTTGAGGGTATTAGACGTTTTGAGTAACCTCGGTAGATCCCGTTATATTGGGATAAAGAATCTTTATTTCTTCGTATTTCTTTTGTTCCCTTCTCATTCATGATTCGGTTCGTATCCCGATTTATCACTTACTGTCTAGAATATGTGAACACAATCACTGATATGTCGCGGTGTTATAATTATAGATCAGTCCAGCCATTGGCCGGTTTGAAAACGAAATTCACCGAAAATACCTGTTCACTTTCCGCGAATCCATCAGATTCGCTTGCCAAGGAGCAATTGATTTCGTTGGATCTAGATCCTACCTTGGACATAGTTTTAGCCTAGAAGACCCAGATCTCACACCGACAGCGGCTAATTCGCAAGTATCGTGGGCTCAGGACAGTGGAATATCACTGGTCGCTGATCAACGTTCCGAGATACTGCAACGACGTTCGTTTGATGATCCATGAGAAATAAATGACGCCATGCTGACGATAAAAGCACTTTGTGTATATTTTCGCCCGTACAAAGAAGCAGGATATCTAGGGAACGACGATATCTATTATGCCATTTACCTCAGAGAGCGGACTACTCAAAACCTCGTTCGGCAAATTTGCCGCAAGTTACCGATTGACGAGACAAGGGTGAAAGAGATTGTGTACCTAAGCTCCGACAAGGTCGTAGGAGCTATGAATGACCAGGTTGTCCGGGGATTATCCAATGAATAATCATTCGATGTCGAGTCAGTGGCAGCATCTCACGACTGTCAGGGCGATATCGATACTATTGAAAGTCTGCAAATCCGAATTCACTTATGACGACACGAACCTAATTTAAAGGCCAAATAATAACATCGACTTACCTTTTATCTCTGAACAGTGAAGTGCTACAATGAATTCAGATTATGTTACTCATATGAAGGGGGCGGAGTTTCACAAAATGGATGCGACCGAAGAAGCTAATACTTAAAGCTCGAGTACGTTAGGCTATGGGGCATTTCGGCAAGCATGGTTTGGCCATGCCGGAAACTGTAATTACGGTAAATTAGGCGGGCTACCAGAGATACATCAAGAAAATACTGTGGGGACCTTCTTTGGCCCAATCGGGCCTAGCGCGTTCTAAGTGGGGCGCTGGGAAAGAAAGCCTGTGTGTACGAGGGATAATCTGTTTTCGAATTCTACTAAATGTTGACAGCCTGGAATGCGCCCTGGTTTCCGGGCCGTTTCCCCATTTCGGTAGTTGCGTTAGTGTGGACAGGGGTTGTGTGGGTTGTGTGGGTGGGGTTGTACAATTCCTGACCTATCGATAACGCCACAAATGTTCTCACTGGCTGGCAACAACCGAGTCGCAGGTTGGTCGTAATCCGAGCGCTTTGATCTTGGGAACTGAGTACGTTCATGCAGATCTATCACATGCTAGTCTCTTTTTATATTAGCTCTTCCCTGGTTTTATTTCCATTTCAAAGGCCAATGCTGCAGTTCGAGTTCTTGACAGCTACAAAGTCTCCGATCATGGCTATTGCGGAAAGTAAGATACTCTTGGGGAAATTGGAGGCCGCATGTTCGTATGCAGAGCATAATGGATGTAATCAAGTCCAGCATGTCCTGTCTGACAAGCATGTAAGCCAGTCATATCTAAATTTTATTCACGGTCTAATCAAAAGCAGTTTGTCGACTGTCTTGCAAAACTATGGAAGCACCTACCTGAGTGCTCGAAGAAACAGATTGATCCTGCCGGCCGCAAACGCACCGGGAACGCCGCAAAGCCCCCCAAGAAACAGAAAATTCAATTATCTGAACCTTTGAAAGCGAACCTTGATCAATGGGCAGCAGATAATGACTCCTTCCTGGACACGAAGTGCAACACGGAATGTTCTTCGGCCACGCGTTGTCCAGTTGCAGCGATCTATCAAGAACTTAGGGAGGCCGAAATTCGCAGTTCTGGGAATATAATGCGTATGCGTTTCCTAAAAGTCCTCTTTCATCATCTGAGTGACCGGTTCTGCGTAACCTATCTTCGACCCAACGCAGTCGAGTGGATCACTCGCAGAGTTGTCGGAGCGAACTTGGATGACGGTGACACGCTCAAAATCTCGGGCAAAATTAAAGACTGGGCTTTTGTAGGAGCAAGATATGATGCATTATGCAGAGATTTAGGGAATTATACCGTGGAAGATTACAGGTACTTAGGCAACTTGTTCCGCCTACCTGACGATGTCACCGACAGATTGTGAGTCAAGCAAGAGGCTTATAACTCCAAGCTGACCATGTCACAGTATGTTGAAAGAACTTCGAGTCAAAGGTGACTCCAGGAAAGACAAGATCGACTCGTTACTGCGCCGCGGTATCTGTGAACTGAACCAAATTTCGGCCATGGACAGTCTGGCAAATGATATTTTTTGCTCGCTGTGGAATAATATCGAGTTATCTATTTCGTCCGAAGAAATAGAAAATGGAAGCGTATTCAGCTCTTTGAAAGGTAGTGGTTGGATAACGGCCCGCAACCCATTAAGTAGATGTTGACATATTTTTTTCCACAGATTGGCGCAGTCTACCAGGCACTCGGACAGTCAGACTTCAGAATGGGGAACGCGCAAATTTAGCATTCTCCAACCCGGCACAGAATTCGGAATTGTTTTCACCCTCCACCTCTCTATACAGTGACAGCGAGGTCGCAAGCATGTCAGGTAGGCTATTGAAACTCGAATAAAAAAACTGCTTCCTTTACTGACGGTGCGCTGAAAAAAGGTGATAGGGAAACTGCCAACCGGGTGGAAGCGTATGGAACTGAACTCCAGGGAGCCACTCCGCCAGTCACTGATGCGGCGTTGGCCTCTTGCAGTTCAGATAATCAGGCCTATTACACGTTCAGGAACATGTTCGGGGACATGCCGGATCCTTTTAATACGTCTACTGAGCGCCAGGGGGCCGCTCCGCCAGTCCCTGATGCGGCGTTGGCCTCTTCCAGTTCAGATAATCAGGCCTATTACACGTTCAGGGACATGTTCGGGGACATGCCGGATCCTTTGAATACGTCTACTGAGCGCCAGGGGGCCGCTCCACCAGTCCCTGATGCGGCGTTGGCCTCTTCCAGTTCAGATAATCAGGTCTATTACACGTTCAGGGACATGTTCGGGGACATGCCGGATCCTTTGAATACGTCTACTGAGCGCCAGGGGGCCGCTCCGCCAGTCCCTGATGCGATGTCGGCCTCTTTCAACTCAGATATGTTCGGGGTGCCCTCGGATGCTTCTAGTAGACCCCGAGGTGGCACACCACCCTCTCCTTTGGGTGTGGCCGGTAGAGGTTTCTATGTTACCAACGGACTGGGCGGTGCTAGATTTGGACCAGGGGGTGTTCATACTAACGTGCCATGGCAGCCCATGACTGTTGGATAATTTCTATTCCTGTCTTTCGGAATGATGGTGTTTCTTAAGTAATATTACATCTTTTTAGATTTCATGAATCATTACTAGGTACAATGAATATCGCAGCTGCCCCCGAGCTTAATATAGGCTCATCATCAACGCAAATATAGGATCCTCCCAGCAATTGACCTCCGGGTGTTAATCTGACGTTTTCGGACAATGGTATGAGGTATCCTGGCTTTTGATCATTCAACAGTTTCGTGGGTCTTGACCAGTACACTAAGCGCCCTATCCAACGCTACTAGAGATCAATAAAATGCCCTTGTGAGCCAGTAACCGTGCTTACCTCGTCGATTTCCAATGCCACTTTCAATTGAGAAATCTTTTCATCCAATAGCGTTCCCTTGTACCTCTTGTTCCCGTTCTCATCCACGTCCTCCTCGAGAAGCTTGCCCTGGGCATCGATCATCTCTTTGATTTCATTGCGGATCACCTCGGCCGCATGAGGCAGTTGTTGGGGTTTCATTCGGGCGGCTGATGACGCAGAGCGACTGGGAGCCGTGATGGCCTATAGAGATGTTAGACAGGCATCGTAATACCCATGAGATGAAACTACACACTATGATATGTAGAGGAATAGACCTCCCTCGAAGTCTTTTCTGTGTTGCGGATAGAGGAGGGGTAAAAAAGGGGAGTGGGAGGGTAAATTTCCGAGTTGGGCACCAAATCACATGACATGACTCTATTCCGTGTTACAGGATGGATCGAAATCAGTTTCACCATTCGCACGGTGACCCCACGCCAGCTGGCGAAGGCAGCACAGAACGAGCCATCGGTCGTGTAAGAGTTATTTGGGATTTTGGAGTGTGTACGCTGTCCGTCGCGTTTGGCGGTTAACGGTGAAAGCGGTCATGAGACCGACCCACGGGCGATTTAAGTCCCGTCGGTCAACGTATGCGCAATCCTCGACTTAGATGCATCACCGTTGCCCGGATAGCAAGCACGCGTCGTTCAATGAGACCGTCAGGTCTACGGGTACGATTTTGATATTAAATGACACCTCCACATTGGACGAGGCATCGTCAGCGGCATCCTTTCCATCACGGGACTAGTGATAAACGTTTCTAGCGGATAGACTGGTGCTTGTAGACTATAAGAGCAGCCGTTGTAACAGACTGCCAAGCTACATGCCCTACCTGCACAACCGAATGGGACATATCGTCTCCATAAAGGCCTATGTCACCAAGGGTTTGCCACTCCAAATGCATATATCATTGAGCACCTTTCCAGTGCCAAGTTCTGGTCTGCCTTCAAACAGGCCAAAAGATGTAACTCCAGATTGGCCCTTTTCCTGCAACAAAGACACGACATATTGATAAAGGAGCTTTAATTTCATTTTCAAACGAAGATGACTTGACAGAATCTGTCGGGCACGCTCAAGGATCGGGACAGATGTGACGCAGTTTCCCGCGGAGCGCATGGGTTCACGCGTCGTTCGTGGAATGTGCTGAGCATGTTGAAGATTATCCCGTGGCCACCTTGAAGAGACACATAAAAGAGATCATGCTGAATTTGTAGGTACAAGCAGGGTGGATTCAGAATTCACAGCCAATTGATTCACGAAGTGATGACAGGGCAGACCCCATAGAGTACTGCCAGGAAGGTTCTCATAGTGCGTCTGAAGCCAGTAAAGCCTCCGGGAAAAATATTGAAAAGGCATTTCTGTTGATGAACTTGTGCGCTAAGTAGGTACTGTAGTTCAGAGAGGTATCAGGTAAGAATAAAGAGTGTCACAGATTTTCTTAAATCAGGCCAAGGGTAGATGTAGGCAAGCGTGGAATAGTTCTATCTACCCTTTCCGCATAACACGGTATATATCCTACCTGCTATCATTGAAGAACCGCTCGCTGATATTGTCACGCATGAGGTCTATAGATAGCCAGAAGGCAGAGTTACCGCAGCGGTCCGGACTATTCACGTCAATCCGTCCGCTGGATAGAAGCAGATTGACTGCTCCTAGCTAGCCATCACTGGTAGCAATATGCAACGCCGTGTATCCATACCCATTTTTCGCGCAAAGATCGACATTTTCTTGCCCAAGCAATGATTTGATGACTTTGAGGTTACCGAAATGCACTGCCTGCATTAAGAGCATTTTGCAGCCTGAGTTGAGGGCGTTGACATCCAACCTAACTTCAGGGGGAACCTCAAAGCGTTGATTGTCTTGGCGTGGTCTGGAAACAAATCGATCCACTCTCTGGCCGCCCTGGAGGATCTCGAATAACGACATTGTCGACTGGAACGCAGCAAAATTCTCGCTATGATTTCGTCGATGAATTCGCCCTGCATCAACGCGACATGAAGAGGTGGCATGTCCTCGGAGTCTGTACCAGAGTCTGCGCTATATTTAATAAAGACCTCCACTCTTGCATGGTCACGCGTCTTGATAGTGTACTATAGCATTTTTCGCCCTAGAGTGTCCAGTAAATCTATTTAGGGATGAATCACCGTACCCACCCATCAAAATCAATGTTTACTCGCCATATCCCGCTGAACGGGCTAATAGCTCGCGTGATGCCTCCGCGGGGCTGAGAGATGTGGGTCCGTTGAAGATTCCGGGTTTAAAGACGTAGCTGTCAAAGAATATAGTGAGTGGCTTGCTTGAGCGTGCCTAACAGATTCTGTTAAGTCGCCTAGGCCTTTGGTCGAGTACGTGGAAGTGAAGAATTTAGCTTGCGAACTTTTGAAACTTTTAGGATATGCTATGCGTGGTATTTGTGACTGGTCAATAACATCGATGAGGCATGGGCCGTAGTCGTCGCATCTATTCTTATCGCATAGTTTCCCGCTTAGTGGCCTGCTATTGCTGCTTTCTCTGGATTCGCATACTGGTGTTTTTCCGGACTTGCGCGTAGTGGAAGTCTTCCTTGAGCCGGAATCGAATAATGGTCTTTGCTCGCCCTGGGCGTGGCGAAGGCATGGTGTTTTTTGGAATTTTTTGCTTGAGGTAGACTCTAGATGGATCGTCTAACATTGGTGTGGCGTTTGATGACTTTCGCGTTCTTCGTCGCATTGGCCTGTAAGGAAAGTAGGCTACTGTAATATACTATATCGAAGTGGATTGAGCGACGGAATCGATCTATTTATGTTGTAAGATTAGCTCACGAACTAGTAGAGTTAGAACATCGAGTATGTAGTGATATTGGCGGGGCCTCCTGCCTAAGACTAAATGCGATGGTATTAAGTTCTTGATTCCCACTGTCTGTGACGGTAGAATGGGCTGGAAAAGAGGCTTTCCCCTCTTCCCTGTAATATTGAAGCCTTATACTATTTGCTCCACTGCGTGATCGTGATCTTCCGACCGAGCTCCTAATTGTAGGGCTGTCCTGATTCTTGAGGTCGCCGCTAGAAAACTGATGGTGAAACATCCTTGAATTACTAAAACTAATCTCCCACTACACCCTGGTGGGAGCTTCTATATTTGTCTGGAATACCTAAGGGGATCAAAAAGTTGTGTAGTGTGGGTAGCGATCGTGTGTTAAGCGCTAAGTCTAGCTAAGTTAATATATTTACTGAGTGATCCACATCTTTTAAACCGATTGTTAATATATATTATGTTTGATGCATTTGAAAATGATCAAGTAGCTGGTAATAAGTCTTCTGATGTGGTGTGCCCCGTTGGCTTGCTTGGCTAATTAGTAGTGTGGCAATAGACCACTGTAGTTTTCCTCTATACATCGAAGGAGTGGTAGATGTTACCTATCTGGATACTGAGCTGGCACCAAAAGAAAGTCTTTCCTATTTATATCGCCTTATAGTTGATGGTTTTGGTAGCTCTCTTAAAGTCTCCACGCGGTAGAGAAGCCTCTAGGTCACGTAGATAGAGTATAGTGCTTGTTTTGGGAACGAAGGTAGTATGGACTGTCGCCCTATGAATATGATCTACTATGATCTTTCGAAGATCAATGACCTAAGCAATACTGAGTATGGGGTCCGCATTGAGCCGACCTTTGCTAATTGTGTAACGATCCACTGTCTGGCAAATGTGTACTGATGCGATTCTACCTACTACGAACCTGACGATAACTTTGTAATTAAGGGTTGCGATGTCGGTATAGATCTGAAGGTCTCTTTTTGCCTATACTTAAGCTCTTGACTTAAAGCTTGTAATTACTATTTGACCGTCGTCTGTTGAGCCTATGGCCTTGTAAAGTTTCTAGATAATCGGAAATATTGGATTTACCCTATCTTGTATCTTAAACCTTTAGTTTGGACACTGTCACTATAGTATACGGTTCTATTGGGACTTAGTCATTTAGTACTTGACTTACCTCCCCGTTGGTGGCTCGATGAGTCGCTGGTGGCTTAATGATTATAGTTATAGCTTACGTCGCACTACTGGTGTGCCTAGCTTATCCTATTAAGATAATACTATCGATTTAAAATGGGTAATGGCTTCGTCTCTTTGAAATGACTTATATTTTTGGTCAAGAATTAACAAGGTAATATAGAAAGTGAAAATATGATGTTCTAGACCAAACATTTGTTAGATAGTAGACCCCATACGGCTTATTTAAATCTGAAGTTACCCCTACTTTGGTATATATCGGCTGTGAGTCTTTTGCTTTACTACCTCTTCGATAAGATTTCCTAAATCACGATTCTTATAGGATTTGGCAACCTCGGCTGGCAATGCTAAATTATTAGGTACTTTTGGACCTTCGAGCAGTCTGCTGACTATTATAGAGTCTTCTTGTCTTATGGCTAATAGGAGTGCTATCTCGCCCTAATAATTGATTAAATCGAGGTCGATGCGAGGATACTCAAGCAAGATGTCTAGGATATCTAGCCTTCTGTGACGAATAGCCACAAATAGCGCTGTCTCTTTATTAGGGCTGTGTAACTGGTTGATTTATAGACGATCGCCTTGCTAGATCAGCAATTCTACTATGTTAATATAGCCCTTATAGGTTGCTAAAAGTAGTAGCGAATCACTATAGCGGGTTATAGCATTAATTTATGTCTTTTTATGAGCGAGCAGTAGTTCTATAACTATAGTGTTTCCTTCCTATATAGCCAGGTAAAGAGGGGATTGAGAGCCACTGCGGAGGTTCGGGTTGAGGGCCGGTAGGCCTAAAAACCATCGAAGGGCAATTATATCTCTTCTAAAGGCTAGATGGTGAAGCGAAGTAGAGGGGTCATTATATCTCCTACTCCTTCTAAGCGCATTGACCTCGACTCCCTCCTCTTTTAGAAGCCTCTTCGTAACACTGTCATGAAATGCAAAGGTAGACCACCATAGCGTAGTCCGGCCGTAAGTGTCCTTGTAGTTTAGGAGAGAATTTGCATGACGTAGTAGAAAGTCTACCGCTATAAGATGCCCACCCCTTATAGCTATGTGGAGAGGTGTCTTCCCTTCTTGATCTACTATGTCTAACCTTTCTCCTCGGCGGCGTATTACTCGCAATCTAGAAATATCTCCGCTGCTGGTAGCTAAGAACACTATTTCTTCACTTCTAGCGATCGTGGTATCGTTCGAACTGGTTATAGAGGACGTAGCCTTCTAGTAATCTAGAAACAGGTCCTTAATGGAGCTCCTGTTGCTAATGCATACCTAGATCTATGGCGAAATCCTATCCCGATCCTTAGTATCGGGATTGGCGCCTCTTAAGAGTAGTAGATACGCCGAGTCTCTATCGCCCTAGAAGATAGTAAGCTAGAGCACTATTTGACCTTCGCAATTTAGGCGATCGATTTTAACCTAAGGGTATTAAAGGAGCTGATTCACGATAGCAGATGACTTCTTCGCCACGCCGTGCCATAGAGCACTCTATCCCCTTATGTTTCTCCTATTCACGCGCAGCTTTGTCTCACGCAGTAAGAGATTGATGACTAGCTCTAAGCCGTATTCTACGGCTATCATAAGAGGAGAGGAATCATCGATCAGTGTATTCACGTCAGCTCGGTAAGTAAGTAAAGTCTTTATAAAGGCGTAATTGTTGGTTTTAGCGGCCTAATACAGCGTAGAGCTGTTTTAGCGCTTAATATTATATTTTATCAGGGCTAGGCGTAGCTTAGGATAAAGTTCTGGGTGAGCCCGAGCAAAAGCAGAAATGTCGCCTCCCGATAAGGTACTGGCTATGATCCAAAGAACCTCTATAGGAAGATAAAGAATCAAGGTATCGCTAACGTCTATTTTGTTCGTGAATAATGTTGCTTTTTTCTAAGGTAACGAAGGAAGTTGGTGCAGAGCGATGGAACTGATGCAAATACAATGTTGCGCGATTCAGGATTAGGATTTTTCAACAAATTAGGGTGATGAGGACATAAGAAGCTGTTAATTATTATAAATGGTGGATGGGTGGATGTTTGCTTGCTAGCTAAGCCTTACCTTATCTGCTGACACACGAAGCGATATAGTCGAGGCCCTAGGAACACAGCTGTGCACCCTAGGAGCCCCGGGCATCTTAAAGTAACTTCAGAACAATTCATGTATACCGCATATATACTTTTGCCCTTAAGAGGGCTTGTTTCTAGATATTGACCAAAGCCTCTGCGACGTTACTTAAGCCATAGTGTGAGCTAAGAAGTATATTAGTGGAGAAAAGTCAAAATTCATAAAATATATGGAACAAACATAGTATGGGTTATATTTCAGCATTATGCTTGGCTAGATGTTAATTAGCCAATATTTGGCTTTCCCTCTAATCCCAGGGCTATAAACCGGCCATGCGGACATTTATCCTGTGCATCCCGTGTATATATAGATAAGGTAAATACTCCATAGCCCTTTTCACCAGTGTCCATTTAAGTTCGTTTAGAGATTTTCTGCCTTCCTAGATGCCAATTCAACCTCCAATTTATTAAAATATGATAATCTACCGAGGTTACTCACCACGTCTAATACCTTAAGGATCCGTTTAACCGGAAATGCTAAAGCTATATGACTTGCTTGTTGTTGGTAGCTCTAGGGGCCAGCTAAATGATTTTAGGAGCGGAATACGTATTCCTAGGGCCTTTGAATTGAGGTCTAGGAGCTTGACTACTTCTAGGAACGCATAGTAGCATTCCTAGGGATATAAATCATATTCCTAGGGCGAATGAGCTGATTCCCGGGCGCCGATTCAGTCCCACGTGTAAGTAGGGTTAGCTAAGATTTAGGGTAGTATAGTAGCTTCCCAGGATCATCAATTGCATTCTAGACCTAAAGACGCCTATAGCGAAAATATATATAAATGATCAGAAAGCATACATTAAGCGCACGCCTCGTCCCACCTCTTCTTTTTTACT